TAGTAGTAGTAGTACTATATATATATATATATATATATATATATATATACTATATATATATATATATATATATATATATATATATATATATATATATATATATATATATATATATATATATATATATATATATATATATATGTATATGTATATGTATATATATATATATATTATAGTGTATGTGCATATGCATGTGTATGTGTATGTGTATGTGTATGGGTATGTGTATATGAAAGTGCATATGTATGTATATTGTACATGCGCATGTGCATGTGAATGTGAATGTGAATGTGTATGTGAATGTGCATGTGAATGTGTATGTGTATGTGCATGTGTATGTGTAAGTGTACATATGTGTATGTATATGTGTATGTGTATGTGTATGTGTATGTGTATGCGTATGCGTATGCGTATGCGTATGCGTATGCGTATGCGTATGCGTATGCGTATTCGTATGTATATGTGTATATGCATATGTTTATGAATATGTATGTGCATGCACGTGTGCATGTGGTACCCCCATGTCTACACATGCGAGTCGTGTGGCATAGCATACCACTCATCACACAGAGCTCCAGTAGACGCCCCGAGGTCCATCCTCGCAACTCGATCTTCAAATCTGCAATGGTGATGCCAATCGGATTCAATCTTCGACACAGGAGACGCTAATATACTATGCACACAAATGAATATGTATTTTTAGCTTTATACACAGCTACAATAGACATTCTGTGTGGACAATTTGATGGCGAATGTGGGAAGGGCTTGTTGAATATGGATCGACTAGGGACGATCGACTGGGAAGAGTATAGAGATAAAAACCAGAAAAATAACGCCAAAGTTAGGTATAGAATCGGGTTAAAGATGTCCATACACATCAACACCACCCATTACTTTACGAACACGATTTCATATTCAGTCAAGGATGGAAAAAAAAGCACACCTTAATTATATAAATGTTTGCATACGTCAAAGGTGCATGTGTGTGAGACATCCATGAGCATCTACTTCGCCTATGCACAACTGTTCATATCGAGATCTGTGCAATAGCACTGCTCACTGCACATGCCTGCCTTATGAACTTCTACTCACAAGATTGCTTTGATGGATATAACTCAACAGACATATGCTTCGTTACAAATCCACGTCACTAGTGGTGTTTCACTTAGTTACCAAAATCTGACCAGTTGAAATACACAGAGAACTGCTTCAGTGCTGTCACAGTGGTGAACTTGGGTATCTTGAATACACATACGATGTGTATACTCAGAAATGTAAACTGAGTACTGAATATTATATGTCCATGTGAACTGCATGCTTAAACATACGTACTTCCACGTCTGCTTCCTTGCAGTCATGAGCTGTATACTCGTATATTGAGTATTGGTAACACTTCAGCAGAAGGGTGTATTGAGTAGTGTATATTCAGTTCTGGCTACACTTAAGCAAAGGGTGTATTGAGTAGTGTATATTGAATATTGGGTACAGTTAAGCAGATGGGTGTATTGAGTAGTGTATATTGAGTATTGGTTACAGTTAAGCAGATGGGTGTATTGAGTAGTGTATATTGAGTACTGGCTACACTTAAGCAGATGAGTGTATCGAGTCATATATATCGAGTATTGGTTGCATTTAGCAGATGGGTGTACCAAGTAATGTATATTGAGTATTGGTTACAGTTGAGCAGATGGGTGTATTGAGTAGTGTATATTGAGCATGGGCTACACTTAAGCAGATGAGGTTTTTGAGTAGTGCATATTTTATGTACATCTGAACTACTTTGCCAGACATTTTGCGATTCCCTGTCTGTAAGGCTGCACTCGCAATTGTACCCTTACCTCGATTGCCCACCAGTCGAGAGCCACAGAACTCATAGCCGTCGCCGTTATCTGCCATTTTCGTCAGAATCTATAGGGTTTTAGGGTTCTAAATATTTAGAATTTGTAGTTTTGGTTTGTCAGAGTCTGTATGCTGAGGTCAAGGACACAAATGGTTACTGAATGGCATCAACAATATACCGTATAACTTATAGCACGAAGGTGTAGCAGATGTATATGGATATGAAATGGTTTCAATAGGTGTACGTATAAATGAATGAATAAGCTATTTAATATAGAGAGTACAAGAGTACAAATAGGTCTGGAATATACCGATACTTTATAGCACAGGGTTATAATAGATGTATATGGTTATAAAATTTCCAGTAGGTATACAAATTTACAGGAAGTTGTGGAGTTTACCAATATTTTATAACACTTGGGTATAATAGTGTATATGGGTATAGAGCTTTCCAGTAGGTGTATGTATACATACGCGAATATAGAATAAAAACAACTTGGATCATCCTATGTAAGAACAAATATAATCGAAGTTATATATCCCTTTGAAAACAATAAGTGTACACAACATTCAATACATATATGATGTCTACTCACATAACATATTCATTATTTCGTGCAAGAGTAGGTAGTACAAATAAAGATGACGTTTATCGCTCGTATATCAAGAACATATTTCATATATCCTAATCAAATATATGATATACATCACATACCAATATTAAATATTAATATCATATATATCACATACCATTTATCATATATCTAGACATAACTCATATATCTATTTTATATAGTGTATATCATATTCTATATATCATATATAAAAACTTATATAGCATATATCATATTTCAAATATCTATACATATTCCATATATCCATAATACATATATACAGGTACATCATATGTCATATATCATATATACTATGTATATCATATACCATATATTACATATTTACATCATATATATGTAGAACTTGATTATCATAAAACATATATCATATATCTATACCCAGATCACACTATACTCCGGCAGTACAGGACCGCCGTCATTTGCAACAAAAGGGGTGATATACTTGCACTGGCATAGTATACCACAATACTCACAGGCGTGTTCACATCAATAACAACAACAGATAGATTTTATGTAACAATATAAGCAAACGTGATTATACAACTACGAGCATACTCCTATACCCAGATGTATGGTAGTACACAAGCACAAACAGATTCATACCCGTTTGAAAAATCAGGTTGCTAACGTGCATGCGTACGGAGCACACCCAACCTCGCCATGAATGTCGATAGATCTTTACACAGACCACAAACATACTCTATTGTCTCCAGAGGTCATAAAGTGCACAAGCTCCTAAACTTGGGTAGACCATGAAAGCAAGTTCACATGTGCATACGTACACACACATGTACATGTGAATATATGCACTACATATATATACGTATGCGTACATGCATGCACTGTATAAACTGCAGGAACATACTCTGTTAACTCCGAAGGGAATGAGATCACTGTCTTCTGTGATGACGGTGGTGATGTACTTGCGCTTGTACAAGTACGCCAATTGAGCGTCGGCTTCGTATGGGGCGATGATACACTGCACGCCTTTCTCTCGACACATCTGTGCATATCAGAGAAAGCACGTGGATATTAGTACACAATACATAGGTGCACATTGGTGTGTATATGAGGAAGTGAAGTATAAAAAAATACATATAAACGCGTCCGTGTGTAAAGTGGTAAGTAAACCTCGGTTATTGAACAAGGTTGATCGCGCGACGGTTTTGTACGGGGAGACGATGTACTGAAAGCCTTTTTCTCGACACATCAATATTAAGACCTAAAAAGGCCCAGTATAGGCTGCCATATACACATACCTTGTGTACGGCTCGTGCCATGTCGTTGGTGACAGTGAGACTCTTCTTGAATGTCTGTGATAGTCATGTGGCCATGCAGAGCGTATAACATCGAATGACGAGAAATGAGTCAGAGAATATAATAGTCATGATAGTGCTAAGTGGACGATGCTCATGGATACTTTAACGATCTATATAGCCCACCACACTTATTCACACAAGAGTCGATGTAACAGATTTTCCACAGGTGTAGCAGAACATCAGGTAGCACGCATAGAAACCCACATAGTCACACACGCATGTTACAACCACGCCTAAGATTCATGCACTACATACAGGAGCTAAGTGCCATATGTGGGATATTCACACGCATACTTATATACGCTACTCTACATACGCAGATACAGACCTAAACATGATCGAGCTAACAACAAAGTGCTCAACACGCATATACGCTACATAGCTCAAGTAATTACACATTATACATCATCACGTGCAAATAAACTAAGCGCTCAACACATTTATACATTACACAACACAAGCAACTACACACCTATACATGATCACGAGGAAACAAACTAAACGTTCAGCTCACATATACACTACTCAACTTAAGCAACTAAACACATATACATGATCGCGAGCAAATAACGCAGTGTGTACAGCACATATACACACTACTCGGCTCAAATAATTACACACTGATACATCATTACGAGCAAACAAACCAAGTGCTCAACACGCATATACACTACTGAACTCAAGCGTTTACACACCTATGCATGTTCACGAGCAAACGAACGAAGTGATCAACACATATTTACATTCCTCAACACAGATAAATGCACACCATACATGATCACGAGCAAAAAACTTTGTGCTCGACCCCCTGAAGCCACATTCAAGTCACGCAAGGGCATCGCATGCTATTGGCATACCTCCAGAGCCCCATGAATATCCCCGTTATCCATCATTTCCCGTGCCTTTGCTTTGCTCTCCAACCTCCGTCTGTTAATTTTGTGTGATATGTAATACGATTTTAGTATGATTTTTGCATAGGTCTGCCATCGCATATCGAACATATATTGTGTGTAGTATCGTATAGATGTCTCTGTTGGGCCCAGCTTGACTAGTCTAGCTTGTCACATTGCCGGATACGACTTAGCAATATGTCGAGTTTATCATATGTATGAATGACTGTGTATACACACACACATACATATTTATGTGCATATCATATGTATGTAATTATACATGCATATGCACCATACGTATGTCTATGTGTGGATTGCTTTCGCCGTTTCCTAAAGCTCCTATGTCAAGATAATTTCATTTTGTGAATACTACAACCTAACATCGTGTCCCATTGCTTGACATGAAATCTTAATCTGTTTGTTCACATCTTGCTACGATTACTCACAGCTTTCCTCAATACAATATCGGGATGAGAACTGGTAGTTGTGAATTTCTAACAATGCTTGTATTAGAATTATAATGGGGAGGAAGTTGCACGACTACTATAAAACGTGATATGTAACATATTCATGTACTGTATTTTCACACATGCATACACATGCAAATATATATATATATATATATATGCATGCAACGGATGTGAAGACATGTGTAGCTAAGTATACACACAGGTTGATATAAATCCTCGAATCAGTCTGGTAATACTAGAGACAGCATTCACCTTCGTCTCTCCTCATTCCCACGCTCGTTGACACAATTCTACATATGCATGTATATGCATGTATATGCAATCGTACAACAATTTCAGCGGAATTTGTACTTTAATAAAAACATCATTCAATACAAAATGACCGCATGAGACAGGTGAAACCAGGAAAAATGCTCACCTTCGCCTCTCTTGTGGGCACGCTTTATAAACCAATTCTACACTTGCATGTGTATGTACGCATGTGCATGCGTGTATCATTGCATAGACTTGTAGATAAAACAAAAACAAAACACCGAATAACTTCGGTGATACCGGATATAGCACTCACTTTAGTCTCTCTTCGTTGACACGCTTTAAAAACCAATCCTACACATGTATGTTCATGCGTGTATGTACATACGTGAAACGAAAGAATAATGATATGTACATCAATATACTCAACGTTCAATGTAAACCCTCGAACCGGACAGGTCCGATGTTACCAAAATACAGCACTCACTTTCGCCTCTCCTCGTGCACACGGCTTTTGGCAGGTAAAGGTCTGCCATCGAAAACAATGACAGGTGTCACCGCCTTCGACAGAAGTAGATCGACACGCTTTGCACAGTAATGAATGTATCTGTAGGGCGGAAATCAAACGCGATGGTATTCAATCTCACTGTATATACCTATAGTAATTTCGTGTATTTAAGGGCTTAATAAAATGATACATCGACACGTTTTGTACAGTAATAAACATCTGTAGAGAGAAAACAAACATGATGGTATTCAATCACACTGTATACGCCTTTAGTAGTGTAACCCCATTAATAGTTTAATAATATAGAAGAAAAAAAGCAGATCGACATGCTTTGCAAAGTAATGGATATACCTGTAGGAAGGAAAATAAACATGCTGGTATATAATACATTTGTATATACCTGTAGTAGTTTAATACTTTTAATAGTGTAATAATATTAGAAAGAAGAAGCAGATCGACACGCTTTGCACAGCAATGTATATATCTGTAGGAAAGAAAATAAACATGATCGCATTCCATCTCGCAGTATATGCCTTAAGACTTTTCCTGTCTTCAATATTTCAATGATATTGGAAAGGAGAAGCAGATCGACACGCTTTGTACAGTAGTGAATAAATCGGCAGTGAAGAAAATAAACATAACATAACGACATAAAATCTCGCTGTATGTCTTTACCAAAACTAATTTGATGTTATTTGAAAGAACCAGGGCGACACGCTTTGCACAGTAATAAATACATCTTTAGGGAGGAAAATAAACAAAATGATATTCAATCTCACTGTATGTGTCTCTAAGAAAACTAGTTTGACATATGAAAAAATGGTCGACATGCTTTGTACAGTGGTAGGCATACCTGCAGGTGTGAGAGCGTGTATGAAATCTTTAAAGCCTCCCATCATATGCGTGAGAAATACAGCTGATAGCACTTCAAAGATGCAGAGCCACACACTTTGCACAGTAATGTACATATACGTCAGTGTTTGAACCATTGCAAGAGTATTGATACAGGAACTGGGTAGGCCAAGTGTGACGATACACGTCAGTTTGCCCAGCAGTGAATAGAGTATACACGACCACAACCACACATGTACCCATACCTATCTGTATGCTTGCCGTGCAGTAATTGATTGCAGCAACCATAAAGTCCCTTGTATATCCACAGACTGATATCCACGCCGACGCTTTCGCCCTTGTAAATGGCCACGTTTACCGGTACTTTGCACGCCTCCAGGTGTTTGTGCAATTCTGTGTATGTATGAAAAATGGGGGAATTATTTACAGACAAATTGGTGAGATAATCTATTTATAGATTTTGTCAGGGTAGGCATATATATCTGCTCACACATATGTGCTGTACGAGGTAAGAATACGCCTAACAGTCTACTTATAGTTTTTATCTGGATAGTCATACTCTTCCTTGTACACCTATGTGTTACATATGTGTGCGGCTTCGCAGAATCCAGGTGTTTGGTTATTCTGTGCGTGTCACAGTCAACGAGGCGACTAAGACTGCTACGGAATTTATTTTCACCGTTCCTCTCTCGAGATATATAAATTTGTTTCTGCATTCCATAAGATTCATACTTCCGCGGCACTCTCAGCTGTGTTCACCGCATCAAACTAGCTATAGCGTTTGTATTAACGTACAGGTATCGCAATTGTATTTATGTAAGGATTCAATAGATATATTTATGTAAGGATGCAGTATTTGAATTCGTGTATGGACATCAACATTGTATTCCTCTCAAGACAAATCGATATATATATGTAAGGATATTCATGTATGGATATCATAATTGCAGTTATGGAAGGGTATAGTAAGTGCTTGACACTTATGAAAGGATACAGTGGTTGTATCCATGTACGAATATCACAAATGTATTTATGTGAAGATATAGCAATCGTATTTATATAAGGATATAGTAGTTGTCGTCGCTGTCGTCATGTATGGATATCCATAATTGTATCTATCTAAAGATATAGTAATCACACTTTTGCAAGGATAGAAGATTGTATTCATCCACAGATATCACAATTGTATTCTTCAATTGTATATGTAAAAATATGGTGATTGGATCCATGTATGGATATCACAATTGTATTCATTCGGTGTATATTAATTGTAAATATGTAAGGATATAGTGATTGGTATTCATGTATGGATATCACAATTGCATTTAAATCAGTATGTAATGAGTACAACTTCGTACGTCACAGACCCATCCGTGGAGAAACGCAGTAACACTGAGAGAAAAAAAACAGGGCAATTAGATTTGAATGGCTGGCATTATAGAGCATTCGCGCTCAAGTTTGCCTGTCTCAACATGTTCCCTATTTTAGATCATTAAACCAGTTGGATTAGCAACATATTGCCATGAAACAAATGTCGTATGACCTGTCGTACATGTCGTACGCTCTTTCTCTGTCAAGTATACGACCGCCTGTGCTTTCAGTAGGATCCTCCATATGTAGTAAACATTTAATTGAGTCCTTAGGATTCACCATGTCGAGGTCAGACTATGTATAGATAAAAACGAGTTCAGCACTCGGTGCCTTATAGGTTACTTCTATAGAATATGGATACTGGATATTGACCTGTAGGCTGTCGTGTGAATAGCTTATGTTCATGGCGATATATATCGTGGTCAGTGACTTTGTAAGACTTTTGTGTCGTACAATGCCACTTCGATACAGCTTGTATACTACCTATCGATCTGTATGAATGCTAGTGTGTCTATTGCTTGTGTTTACGGCAATAAATTTCATGTACAGTGGTGTCGTACGACATTTTTGGCTTATAATGTGTGTGGTACAATCCGGTTACCATATAGCTTATTAAACATCGATAACAATATACTCTTGAGTGGAACAAATTTGACTTCCCTGAGTGACTTCCAATCCCACTGACCTTGTTCGACATTCGTGAGATATAACCTATTCTGTATTGACAACTAAGAACGATATATCCGACAGTTGACTATGAGCGTCGTATCATTATCTTGTACACTTCCGTAGTAGCCACTGATTCTGTTCACTTCATAAGACTTGGCGTCGTATGAAAATCTTTGTGACGGGCGAGCTATCGATTATACGACATACGAGTCGGATATATGACACATTGAGCTCAAACTGACTCACCCTGTGGGACGATATGGAGAGACGATTTATCCTACAATTACACTTCAGTATGGTGTATGTGTAGATACAGATACAGATTAATTCTGACTGGTGAGAAAATTTCTCCACATGCCATGTGAGTGTCGTGTTGAAAGTGTGTCTGAGCTACCTGCCATTTAAAGCCAACAAAAAGCAGTTGCAGTACTAATAAATCATGTGTCGTATATCTATAGATACTATACATGAGATGTGTACGTTGAGTACACATATTCAATAATTTGGCTGAAAAAAAAGGTTACAACGGACTATTAAAATCACGGGAGTGACCCGATATTCACGTACGAGATGAATATGGATCATCTTGAATCATACCATATGAATAATAAAGAAGCCGGAATATGGGCAGTGTGCTTTTCCACGTGCATTCCTACACCCACCAGCAGTTAAGGAACTAAAAGTCAGTTCTATACATGTCTATATGTAAATGAAAAACCGTCAAAGTACAGCTGTATCTATCAATAACATCCATACCAGCTATTAAAATACAACATGAACTAGAACTTCTCACAGCATATGCTCAATACCCATTCTATACATAGCGATACTCGCGGTATTTTCATAACAAGAACACAAAACGCTGAAGACATACCTGAAATACCCATAACAAACTCACCGATTCTCTCACTATTTACAATTCTAAACGTATCAAATTGCGATATCAATACATAAACGCATTAGTCTCAGAACATACCTGATATGCCCATAGTGAGTTAGATCTACTCGGCTTATATGCTTATAGGAACGTTATTGCAGGCCTGCTGTACTCAACTGCTCACAGCTTCTCAAGTGTGGATGCACGTGGTAAGGCCAACTAACCAAATATATATTCAGCACGTGATAGCTATAGGTATTTAAATGGTTCATATATGTGATGCCTTCGATAACGTAGATTTATTCTTAGCGCAGTATAGCCACAGGTAGCTCCAATATAAGTGAACAACAAAAGACCAAGGTTAGCGTACTGTGAGAAACACGCAGCACATAAGTAGGAGTATTACAGTACCCGTGTTACGTGTAGCTACATATCTATGGATCTATATTTATTATGCACATATTGCACAATACACTTGATATTTATATACTGTTGTTGGATACACTACAGTTTGTACCGCGGTGGACTGGTGGCTCGAGAATCGGAACTGCCCGCTGCCAACTCGCCTGGTCTGTTTTGGCGGGCTTCTGTGGAGTAGAATCCCTTATCGGAACTGGGACTGAGGACTCTCTTTAGCTTTTTTTTGGTATTTATCCTTTATCGCTATATGAAAATTTATGTACTTACGTGTGCCATATTTAAATATTTGCGTGGTTTGTCACACGAAACAGTGGTCATTTACTTGCTAACCAGTAGTACTGTAGTTGCGACACGGCTACACGGTTCATTCAGGATAGCGTGTACGGTGAACAAGAAGTAGTATTGGAGGATTGGTCGTCTGTACAAAGATAGAGACAGCTTGAGTGCATGCGGTTTGGGTTGCTGTCATCAATAAATAGACATACTAAGTAGCAATCGATGCAACAAGTAGCGACCGAAGCCCCAAACTTAACAGTAAACTTTGTCCAACGAATTGGCTTATGTATGCGACTTCGCGTGTACCCACAGGTATATGCATCTGAGAAATCACACACACACACA